AAAAATGAATTGTCATTTCTAGAAAGATAAATTGCAAGGACCATCCCTCTTTACTCATAAATTCAGGTGGCTAAGCGCTAATAAGTAAGTTGAAGGGTATTTATGCAACTGAATGTATAAAGGAGGGGGTTATGTGCAAATTACCCTAAAGCAAATAAAGAGAGAAAGAAACAAACTGCTTTTTTTCCTCTCTCTTTTTTTTTTCTTTTCTTCTGACTTTTTTTTATTTCCCTCTATTCTCTTAGGTAAAGTGGAGCACGCATCCAAAACTAAATAAACCTTGATTGATTCCTATAATTGTTCTATATAGACCCATTAGGACTTTAACCTTGATTTTAATTAAATGATTTAATAATTTTCACTTTATTTTATATTCTTCTTACTTTCTACTATACTTCGTTTAGAGAATCCAACACTTACTCCTCAAATTTCTGGTAGCTCTTAAAGGTTTATTCAAGCAAATAGTTACGAATAGCGTAAGTCTCAGTTGACGACTCCTCAAGGTTGTTAAAGATCTATGCCAAGATGGAACTTAAGTATGTACCATATATATACAAATATATAAAGGATAAAGGATAATCCAAGATCTACAATTAAATTTGAATATTATATGAGATCATCATGACACAAAAAGAAAGACAATGAAATCGGTGCTTCTATATTTAGCTTCTCCAGTCATCCTACCAAGAACCAAGAGACAACAAGGGAGAAAAACAACAAAAGAAAAGAGGATACAAGGTATCTCCCCCTATTCCTCTACCCGCCATAAAAAAAATCATCTTGTATTTCCATGATATAAAGTTGGCTAAATTGCACTTAAATACCTTATTGTTTCACCATCTTTACACCAAAGTACCATAAGTTGTAAAAAATAGCACTTTAATACCCTAGTTGTAAAAATGGCACATTAGTACTTTTTGTTAGTTTTCATGGGAATATTTTTGGGAAATTGTCTTGACAACTAACAGAAGGTACTAAAGAGCCAGTTTTTTACAACTTAGGCTATTAAAGTGATACTTTTTTACAACATAGGGTATTAAAAGTGATACTTCTTACAACTTAAAATACTTAAGAGCCTGTTTGGATTTGTAGGGGGTGAAGGGAAGTTAAGGGAAACTAGGTGAGAGAATGGAAGGGAAGGGAAGGAAGTTCCCTTCCCCTTGGTTAATTTGGGGTAACAAATTTTATACTATTAGGGGGTGAACCAAGGGGAACTAGGGTGAATAACTTCACCTCCTAAATGTTCCCAAACAAGGTGAATGGAGGTGAATGGTTCCCCTAACTTCCCTTCACCCTTATCCCCTCAATCCAAACAAGCCCTAAGTGTAAAGGTGGTTAAACAATAGGGTATTTAAGTGTTAGTTTTTACAATTTAGGATATTAAAGTGTTGTTTTTTACAACTTAGGGTATTTAAATGTAAAGGTGATGAAACAATAGGGTATTTAAGTTTCATTTAGCCTATAAACTTATGAGTCCAGATTTAGACCCAATAATCACTGATTGGGCAGGTCTACACCTAGTTCGGCGTTAGTTAGGTCAAAATTTGACCTTAAATGGCTTATCCACCTCATCAGTATCCGCCGATACTCCAAAACCTTAATTAGTTCCCACAATGATGCCTATGGTCGTCACCTAATTATGGAATTTCATATTTTCCCCTCAGTGTCATGATTCATCACCTTCAAATGTATTTTATTTTGAAAAAAAGAAAGCAATTTTTCACAGCACTTTGGTGCTAATACATTCAGAATCTTGACAAGTCATAAAATTACTCAAATTTCAAAAAATAATAAAAAATAATAAAAATAATCAAGGAACAAGTAACTAAAGGAATCAAGATATTACGCGGGTGGAGACGGCGCTCCGGAGCTGAGAGGACTTGAATCCTGGGAACTCCCTGAAGAGGTTGTGGATCTCTCGGGGCTTCACGTCGTCGGGGAGCCCGCGCGATGAAGAGATCCTCACATCGCCTCGATCGGAGGACTCAAGATGAAGCGGCGGCGGAGATGGAGGGTGTGGGTGATGCTGGCGGCGCGCCGGCGGCGCGATGGTGGTGTGGTGGTAAGAGGGAGGGCGCCCACCCGGGATCGGGAGGAGGGAGGGTAGTAATTGGTATTCGGCCGCGGAGGTAATGTAGAGTTAGCGCCTGTCCATCGGGTGGAAACGAGGAGGGGGGAAATTAGGGTTTTCCTGGTTTTTGTTGGGGGATTTTGATTTTTGGGAGGGTTTTGGGGGGCTAGGTAGGTCGTGCCGATGCGAACGTTCCCCCTTTTTTTTTGGTGATATTAGGACCTTACATCTTTGATATTTTGAATTTAGCCCACCATCTAAATTCGAGTCCCACAATTAGTTTCTCAAATCCTTGATATTGTTGCTATGAGATCCCCCAACACTTGCATGTTGTTTGAAATTAATCCTTCTAGAGAAAGAGTTGCACAACAACAATGTATAAGAACAGGGGATCTAAAAGCAATTGAAATGATTTAAGGGACTGATTCAAAATATTAAAAATGTAAGGGGCAAGTATCAGAAAAATCCACTAATCCGCAATTACTACACACCAACCATGTCCAAAAACAATGATTTATTTTAGAAAACTATAAATTTCATACTACTTCCTTTAGGACCCGTTTGATTGGGTGAAATGGAGGGGAAAATTGACTGTAGAGCTGACAAAAACGTCAACTTTTGGCAGCTTTACAGGAAAATCTCCTCTTTAAGAGGCGCTAACGCTTTTGTTAGCCTTACAATCTCTTTCCATCTCAAATTTGCCCAACCAAACGGGCTCGTACCAGTGATAAATGTGTGGAGTCTTTTCTTGAAAGTTGTCGCGTAATCAGAAACCCTATTTTTCTTTAATTGTAGGATTACGGAAGTAGTATGAGTTCTGTAGCACAATTATTATTACTCGTTTCTTTTGCCTATGTTTCTCTCAAATATATCATATTTTTGAAATGACCCCTCAAATTTGATTATTTGCTAAACTTACACCCAATCCAATAAGAGTCATTTGATTTTCTTTTTTTTAAATTTTTTTAAGGACTTGGAAGTACATTGTGTATATTATTCCATAGTCAAGTTAAAACTATGATCCTCTTTATGAGCTTCACATCCTACTTGGAGACTGTTTGGTTTCATGCAAGCAAATGTTGCATATACTATTTGTTGAAGAAAAATATCTTAAACTCATTGTTCAGATATTTGTAATTTTTTAGTGGAACAAATTGTATTCCCAAAGCAAATTTGGTATTTTGTTGAAAAATAATCGTCGCAAAAACTCAACAAAATAATCGTCGCAAAAACTATGTGGTTTATAGGGAAACACGATATAGATGGCTTTATTAATAAAGGTACCGTTTGGCAATGGGTTAAGTGAGGGGTTAAGGAGACTTAACCCGCCAAAAACAAAAAATTCTATACAAGGGTTAAAGTGAGTTAACCCTCCATAATTTGCCAAACATAAAAAATATAAAAGGATTAAGCTAACCCTTCTAGAGGGATTAAAATGAGTTAACCCCTCAAAATGAGGGGTTTACTAATACTCCTATTTCAAAGGATTAAGAGTTAACCCTTCTAATTATAAAGAAAATAGTCAAAATCATTATTATTCCCAAACACTAAAACTGATCACAAGGGCTAAAATAAAACTTATTTAACGGGTTAATAATTTAGTCCTTCTGATTATCGAATGAGCTAAGTACATTAATCCTTCTCTTTAACCCCTCACCATTAACCCTTTGCCAAACGAGGCCAAATAGAATAAAAAGATTTTTTTGATAAGGTAGAAGAATTTTTCTTATTTTAAATTTTCATTTTGTGAGGGTGCGGCTCCTGCTCCCACCAAATTGGTTGCAACATTTTTTGTAGTTTTTCTATGTAAGGTAATTGTCCTTCCTGACTAAAAGGTTACATAAGAAATAATTGAAATATAGATCCAACTGTAGTATTTGCCTCTGCACCCTATTTCCACACAACCGAACTAACCCAATACGAGGATTGGAAGCAGTATAGGTTGAAAGTTTGTGAGGACCTAGCAATTAAAAAATTGTTGTGAAAATTAATTTGAAAAATGCGAAATTTGATGAGAAGATGCAAGAAAGATGGAGAAAATGTAAGGATATTCCATTATAGCCAATGAAATTTACCAATCATACGCAAGATAAGATAATAATACGAGTAAAAATAAAAGATGGGGCCACTTCCCAAGTTATTTACAAAATGAAGAACCATAATGTGATTATTTGAAATGTACCTGTCTTTTAAGTACTGAATTCATGGTATAACTTGATGTTTATTTTCAAAAAAAAAAAAAAAAAAAGAAAAGAAAACCTTTATTTTTTTTTTAAAAAAAAAAAAAAAAAAAAGAAAAGAAAACCTTTATTTACAGCATCTTCCAACTCCATTAAACAAAAACAAAATCACGCAAGCCTCAGCTACACCACCCTAAATTTCCCTTAAGACGAGCCAATAGGCAAAGCCTTCTTCTTATTACTCTCCTTCCTCCTCGACAGCAATTTCTTCAGAAAACTCACTCCCCCCTTCTGTCTCCTCGATACAATCACAAGCTTTCCTGCATCACTCTGACCCTTTTGCTCATTGAAGTTATAATCATCTTTTAACTTCGCCGGTGACGGCTGTTTTACTTCGGTGCAGATCATTTCTTTCGTCTTGGGAGATTTGAGATGTTCAGGTGTGGAATCAGCATTATCTTGCGTTTGATCGAGTAACGGAGGATGATAGTTGATTCTGGTAGCTGGAGTTGGTGATATCACTTTATCAAAAAGAGATGCATCTTTTGGTGCTGCCAAAGCTTGTAACTGTTTCCCGAGGTTTAGTATGGTTGCTTGGCACTCTGCGAGTTTCTCAGAAGCTTCAGAGATTTCCCAATCCTGCAAGATTGTTGATGCAGTTATGTTTTCGGATTTTGAAAACACGCTCATGCTGTGAATATGTCAAAGTACTGAGCATGATGCTATGTAAATTGACCGTGAGGAAGTAGTAGAAAGTGCAGAAATTAAATTGTAGTTGCTGCTACCACAATCACAGAGTGGCCTATAACATGACATTGTAGCAGTCGTCCACCACCAAACCATAAGCGTGGTTCAAAACGATAAATGCTTGACGCTGATATGGACCATGTCCTCCAAAAAACACATCAGAAATATATATCTACATGTATGACTAAACAAACTTAAGCTGGTGCATCGGTGACGGGGCATGCATCAAGGCAACAACAATGTGCATCATCAAAATACCCAAGTTATAAAATGTTGTAGAACAGAGTTGCGACAAAATAAATGGGTACATAAATAAAAGGGTAAAGCTCATAAAACACCAAAAAAGTTTGGCTTATTTTGAGATAACCCCCAAAAATTTTGAAATTGTCACTTAAACCCCCAATTTTTTTTGTTCTCATAAAAAAAGGAAAAAGAAAAAGAACCACCAAAATTTTTTAGTCATCCCCGAAACTCTCATGCATTTGTTTAGAATATAAAATTATAACACTCCACCATCAACGCAACTTCGGTGTTTTGTGTAGTGTCAGAAACCTTTGAACTGGTATAGTATCAGAGGAACCACGTTCAAATTCCACCGCCCACGAATTTGAAGTAGATTTTAAAAAAATTAATTGATAGCACTGCACTAGCCAAGGCTTTGGCCTATGAAAAATAAGCTCAAACTGTGAAGGCATGTTGACTATAAAATTATAACCCTTAACCCTCTATACAGCTTCAGAATTTTGATTCAGTGGCAGGTTCCTCTGACAATGTTCAAAGGTTTTTCAATTTCACTTCAAACAGCGTAACCCTCCAATTTTTTCAAGAGATTCTCCTCACTTTCGAAATTATTTTCAGAAATCTCCCTATGAAATTTTGATGAAGTTTCATAAAACTCCCATTATGTAGGGGGCATGTAGAAAAAATTTGTTGTGGAGGTTTTGTGGAAGGCCAAAAACATTTGGGGGTTAAGCAACATTTTAAAGTTTTTGGGGGTAATCTCAAAATACAAAGCTTTATGGGGGGTTTTGCGGACTTTACCACCTTAAATAAAAATTTATCTTTAGATTTTGACAGTGACAAGATTTGAACTTAAATACCTCTTGAAACTGTTGTCCTGACACCGTTGAAAGACAAACTTTTACCCAAAGCTTAAATTGATGGGTTGCGAGCTAAAAGTGTACATCAAGCTAACATAATCTTTGACATGTATAAATGAACTGAAGACTTAAAGACAAAAGAAAGAACATTTGATCAAGTTTAACTGATGCTCTTATTATGGTCAAGGATGTTATTAATTTATGATATGTTATAATTCACATGGGTTAGAATCAATTAGGCAGGTAGTTCAAGAGTAGAAAACACTGGCAATATTAGTTAAATAAATTATGTAAATGCCGTAAATTATAGGATGCATGATTGCGAACACCCCAAAAAGTTTCAGAACTCACTGTTCTGAGTTGCTTTTCCTCTTCGCCCTTGTCAGACTTTGGTGTCTCTTTTGTAGATCCACTATTCAGTAAATATTTAAACACAAATATTAGAACTTAAATGTGATATTTCACCCTATTAATGAGAACAATATGATAGTTACCTTTCTAACTGAAGTTGAAGCTCAAGACATTTCGTGTCCAATTCTTCGTTAAAACCACCGTTACCCTCCAATTCAGCTTCAAGAGAGGAGAAACTTCGCCGCACGTCCCTCAGTTCAGCATTGGAAACAGTAAGTCGTGTGCCAACATCTTCTGCAATTGATTTCTGATTCTCATGCTTTTCTTCCATCGATCTATTTGAATTATTCAGAGTTAATAATTTTGCCTCTGAGATTGAAGGTCCAGATTTAAATTCAGTATCTTCATGTAATTCGTCCCCATTCAAAAGATTCTTCATCGTGTCCTTCGTGGTCGATAAATCTTGAAGGGAATGGCAGCGATTGACTATCCATTCTAGAGTTGAGGCAAGTTCACCTATAAATTTCTTGAAATCTACCTTTCCATGAAACAAATCATTGCATACAACAATAAAATTCTGTAGAACATTGCACAGTTCAGAAACTTCCCATAGAAAGACATGAGCTACACACCCGCTAGCTAAGAAGGATTTATACTGCGTCATACTACTTTCATCTTTTTCATCTAATATCTGTTGACCAACGTTGCTCGTAAAAGATTTCTGTATGATTCCCTCAACCATTTGAATCATTTTGCACAGAGGTTTTTCGATATCTGAAGGATGTCCCTTGATAGAAGCATGTTGCATATTGGAACTTTCAGGCTTTTTATCAACACAAACTATAGCTAGCTTTTCCATCTCTATGAAATCATCCATCAAGCTAAGTTCTGAGACTCCTGCAGTTGTAGTTGATGGTGTCGTTGCTTTCCCATTTCTGAAATGCTCAATTTCAGAAATTAAAGCAGAAGCCCATGACTCAGCACAGCTAATAGCATCTTCATTTCTTCTTCCAATATCTTCAGAAATCGCTGCAAGAGGCAAATCATTCGAGAAACTTCTCCTCCTCAATTCTAAAGAAAGCTTTCTTTTTGAGGATTCCTCAAGCTGTGACCTCAATGACTGAAGTTCATTGTTCTTCCTTACTAATGTCTCTTTCAAAACTTTACTTTCGTCTTCAACTGCATTCACTCTTTCAACAAGAGAGACAACTCTTGTACTTAATGAATCATAATCATCTCCTGATACATAATCCCTTGAAACCTCACTCCTCATTTTAGCTATGGAAGCAGGCCCCGGAAGTCTCTTCCGGAGCATAACACGCAATCTTTGGCACTCAGCTTCGAGTTTACTAATCTTTTTCACGCAATCATGATATTTGCTATGAGCAGCATCCGCTGCCTTGATATGGAAATCCCTATCTTGATTCCGAACCTCAATTTCCTTTTGTAGCATAAAAACCTCATACTTGAGAGAAGCATTATCTTTCTCCGAGGATTCTAGCCTTGCCAGTATTTCAGTAAAAATTGCTTCAGTCTGGGATTTGGATTCGTATAAATCTTCAATTAACTTGTCTTTAGCTTCAATGCTTTCATTTTTCTCTACTAAGCTTGTTTCTAACAGTCGTGCTTTTTCTTGCAATCTCGATAACTTTGTAGCAGCATCAATTATAGTGTGTTGATGCTCTTCCTTAACAACTTGTAATTGTTTCATGCATTCATTAAGATTTGCATCTATGTTAGCTATTCTTGCTTCAGCAGCGACTTTCAAAAGTAATGCATCAGCCAGTTCTTTCTTATATGATTCTGCTTCTGTCTCTGCCTTTTCCCAACCTAATATATACATCATCATAAAAGTGAAGATTATTACATGAGCATATGAGAGAAGGTGAATAAATCAATAAGGTTATGTCTGTCATAAAAAATTATGAGAAGAAATCAGCAACCTGCAATTGCCTCTTCGGCCACCTTTTTCTGTTTAGCTAGAAGACTGTCTTTGGCATCAGACTCGGTGCGAACAGTATAGAGTTGTTCCTTTAGATCTTTTAAAGATCTCTCCAATTCCAAGGATTTTTCTAGCTGGTATAAACAGAAACATGTATAAGTACAGATCCTGAAAATTACAATATCGGATATCATAAATTTAGACAAAGACCAATCTCTTTGCTTCTGGTAACAGCACACATTCTGCCACAAAACGGTGTCATTTCTATACGATTCAAACGAAACCGTAAACTACTTTTCATGCTAGCATTTAGCATCAGATTAGAAAATCTGGAACATAAGCAAAATTTGATATGTAATTTCCAACAAAATTCAGGTTACACACTACGTGTTTTAACCGGAAAATATCCCACCTCATTGAAGGAGAAGTTTAAAGATTATTTCTAAAACATGACAGTAAATGTATCATTTATAATTCATGTGAGCACCTTAAAAATTAAAATTATTAGGTCTTAGACTCATCTTTTATTAAGTCCATTGCTTCTTTACAAAAAAAGAAATATTAGTTTAAATCTTGTGAAACATATAAGAGAAGAGAGAAAAACTAACTTTCCATTTGGAGACGAAAATCTGGGTGTGGGGTGCATGTTACTGTTGGCCTTCTTGTTTTGATGATGTTTAACAAACAATTTACCACTAATGTTGTTTGTCTAGTATTTGTGTTTTCTTATTTATTATAGACAAACAACGTGTTGGAGGATGGATGGAATAGAGTTTCAACGATGAAATCCAATGGAGGTTGGCGGAATGTCGGTAAAGCCTTGCTATTCAAAGTTCAAGATCCAAGTTCAAGCTTCATCCGCGAGATTACCTAGAAGAGCTTATTGAAGATCAAGATCTAGCTTGGGTAATTTAGTTTAGGATTTATATTATGTGTGTTATATACTCTAAGCTCAATTATCTATACACACACATTTATTGGTTTCTTCGTATATATATAGTACTAATTATATATCATATATGGTTTGGTTTGCTAGTTTTCAAGTTGTTACTAATGAAAACAAATGAATAGAATTGGAAAATACTATTTGTTTCAATGTTTATATGCCTATATATGATTTCACACTTTAACAGCCTTATATTTAATGAAATCATATTTAGTGTTTTGATATATTGCATAGAATATGCAATTTATGAAAATATTGTATTTCTAGGTTATAGCTTATAAACAACATATTATATCTTTTATCAAGTCTATACAACATTTCATAAAGTTTCAAAATGTTGTTTAAGTCAAAATATCAAAATATCAATTTTCAGGTTTCATGTTTTTGAACTATTTTGTAAAAATGATGATATTTTTCATTGGAAGTCCTTTTTGATAACGCAGTCATTGTAGCAGTTTATTATCATGTCTACAATCATTCCAACCAAAGTTTTACATTTTTTGGAATTTATTTGATATTTTTAATGCAGTGTTTTAAAATCAGGCTTTGTTTTTCTGGGATGTCCAGTTTTCGAGTCGACCGGTACGGTCGACCGGTCAATTGACCATTCTCAGTATTTTTTCAGAGAATCATCGGTCGACCGGTCCGGTCGACCGAGAGCTCAAATCGGTCGACCGACAGAATTTCCGGTCGACCGACGATGGTCCAGAACGTTTTCTTCGTGTTTTTGCTCTCATCGGTCGACCGACGGAATTTTCGATCGACCGACTATATAGCCGTTGGCTACTAACGGCTATTTCTGAGCTATTTCTCTGGGGACTGTTTTGTCATTTGTTTTGGGGTTTTTTTTTGCTAAGATCTTTAGAGGGTATAAATACCCCATTGCTGTCATCTTTCAAAAACTACAAGAGAATGGTTTAAAAGATTTTAACAAGGGTTTAAAACTTGTTTAGTGTTTGTTTAAGTTTGTTTTAAGAAGCTTTTAAGCAATTGAGTGTTTCGGTTTTGTGATTCAATTCAACAAGAGCTTGAGGAGATCATCTATTGGTGTTTGGGCATCCAACTCTTCTCCCTCCACTCTTGATATATTGAGAAGTTTTCTAAACTCTATTTCTAGCTTTTATATATATTTGATTATCATTGTTATTAAGCTAGAACTACATTGAGTTTAGTTTTGATTTATATCTCTTTGTTCACACACAACCTTTTGAGCTTATTGTATTTACATTCATAGTATAATTTGGGGTTGTGGGTTTGTGACTAAGAGTTGTGCTTAATTGAGTTCTCACATTGTTTTGAGAACAATCATTTGTTATATTTGTGCTTATTGTGAGAATCACTTTGTAATACACTTGTACACCGAGTGAGGAGTGTGTGGTGAGAGTCGGGGATCGTCCCAAGAGGAGTGGCGTCGGTTGACGTGCCTAGGGAGAGGTTGTAACCGAGCACTTGAGGGAGACACGGCTAGGTCCAACACTTAGTGGGTGTAGAGTGTGATTGCAAGAGTGTGAGTTGTAGAGTTTTCGGTTAGCTAGAAAACCGAGTGTGTAGAAGAAGTTCCGGCTTCCAAACCGGATTGTGTTAGTGGATTTCTCCCCGGGAGTGGGGAGCGGAGACGTAGGACGGAAGGTCCGAACTCCGTGATCATATAGTGTGTTTGAGTGTGCTTTGGCGTTTATTTATGTTCATATCTTATATCGCCATTGTCCATAGCTCATTATTTACATGATCCACTATCTAGTTCATATTGTTTACCCCTTGTGTTAGTTTATATATCCTTGCATATATATATATATTTCATCATATATGATATATCTCATTGTTTACATTGCTTATCCTAGCTCATATATCTTGTGGTATTTCATACTTGCTAGGATAACTTGTTAATTAATTTTAATTGGCATTTAATCGGATTAGATTAGCATAAGACCCTAATCACCCCCCTCTAGGGTCTAACAGTTACAGATGCTTTCTATTTTAATCCTATAAACTCTGAGGATATACGTTATGCTTAAGCATAATCATGGAGCTCAACCATTTATTGTTGGCCTCAAAAATAACCTTCAAAAGTTTATGCTCTATGAAGTTAATGGGAACCAATGTGCTCACTTTCATCACTCATCAAACCACGATGTCAGGTGTAGATGTATTGTATTCAGATGGAAGTTTCGTAGCAGTTGGGAGATTTTATAAGAGAGGATGCTTATGGTAATATATTAAGTTGACAGTAATTTTCACCCTAGAAAATAAGAAAATATTATAGAGAAGTGATGAAACCACATAATTTAAGTTAGGCCTCTTATGAACTTTGGATTCTTTGTGTAAATACCCCCAATTTATCCTGTTTGCAGTTATACCCCCAAATCTGCATATTTACTAATTACCCCTGCATCTCCACATTAGTTTTTTTATACCCTCTCCTTCAACACAGTTAAACTTCATAGGGTTAAGTTAGCAATGTACGAATTTGGCAGGTAACTGGACAAATAGGATAGATTTGGGGGATATATAGGTAAAAACCCTATTCTTTAAGGGGGAAGAGAATATATTTTTTTTAATCTTAACCAATTTTCATTTGAAATTTAATGATTTTAATGAGAGGAGTATTTTTCCCCTAGGCAAATTAGCAAATTTCATATTTGGCGGGTAGATATGCAAATAAGACAAGGGCATATATATGTTAAAAAATTAAAAAATTTATTCCACATGTGCACTCAGTAAGACGTGAAGAAAATAGTAAAGAAGGATCTTCTCCCTCGAAAACTATTGATGAATTGAAATAGATCAATATATATTCATATGTGCTTGCATAGATGAGATACTTGTGTGTGCATGCCTTTTTTTATGCTACTAGTGATTGTATCAACAAAATGGTTAAATAGACGATGGCAAAAATCAATTTAATCACCTCCTGTTCATGGCTTAAGAGATCAGATTTCTCATTTTTGGTGAGAACCTTTTCTGAAGATTTTCTCCTCCAGAGCCATGCTTTATGTTCCATGCTTGAAGCTGACATTTAGTGCTAAAGTCTGAAAAAGGATCAACAATCGTAAAAAGAAATACTAAAGGAATGATCAATGACGAATTAGAAAAACAAAAAACTAATTCGGAAGCTTGACAGTGAAAAGGAAAAAAAAATCTCTATTTTTAATCCGCGCATTATGTTGAGGTTGTTTCTATGAGCCATGAAAATGTTTGTACTTTTCGTCTGTAATCTTCAAGAGATTAATTTTTATAATCTTCACGGAAAAATGGATAATTGATCAATATATTAAAGCTTATAATTGGAACTTGTCCTACTTTTCATGGCATGTGACTTAGGGCCTGTTTGTTTGCACGAAATTAGCAAAGAAGTAACTGAAATAGAGGAAGTTTCTCCTATTTCAAGCAAAAAATTATGTTTGTTTCTCCGAAAAGACTACTTCAGCTACTTTTATAAATGCAGATGTGACGTCTAGGTGACACTCCTACTTCCTAGACTTTTTTCCGTCCTTGAAAGCTCAGAAGTAGTAGAGAGGAAGTGGATAAAAAATGGGGTCCACTTAAGTTAGAGATTTACCAAGGGCAGATGATCTTAAATAATATATCCAATTTCTATCCAAACAAACAAATAAATAAAAGAAGATGATGAAGTACTATTTCTGCCACTTCTAAAAATATATGAAAAAAACAAAATAAGTACTACTTCCGCTACTTTCTACTTCATAATTAAAGAAGTTACATCTTTGATCAACTTCTTACTTCTAATAGTTACGTCCATCCAAACGGGCCCTTAAGTGAAACTAATGGTTGTTTACATAACAAACTCTAGTTTTTTTTAACAAACTGAATGATGATTTTATCTATACAACCTCTTTAGCTTTGCATTGTTTTGCCAGGAGATGAAAGTGGTGGGAAATAGCCTTGTATTTTCAGCCCTAGAAGACAACAGAAGAGTCAGAACCGAAGCGTGAAGCAAAACTAGGGGAAACGATGATGGCTGGGCGCGGCTACGGCCGCCGTCCGCCCGCAGGATACCTTGCCGGTGACGCGGCCAGGCAAACCAGTCAGTTTGACCGGTTAAGGGCAGTTTCAGTTATTTCCTATTTTAGCCTGTTTGAATTTTGTTCGGATTAGGACTCCTATGTGGTATTGTATCCGGTTTTGGGGCACATGAAAGAGGTCTTTTAGGTCTAGGGTTTGATGTACTAAGCCAAGGAGAGTTCCATATTGTAAAAGAGAGGTAGAGAGAACAAATGAAAGAAATCTAGGGTTTTGACAGGAGGTTGAGAGAGGGTTTATTGAGGAATGTTTAGAGATCTCAAGAAAGATGGTATCTTTGTAATCTCTAGAATAAAAAAAGACCTAAATCTCTACCGTGGACGTAGGCGATTACTGTACCACGTAAATCTCGTTACTTTGGTCGCATTCTATTTTCTACGGTATATTGCATTTCTCTTCTGTTTGAACTAGTAGCTTCTCGGAGTTTCCACGTCACTTGGTGAGCAATTGATCTACGAAGTAGAAGGGGATCTCATCGGGTGTTTCGATGACGCTTCCACCGACAACGCTTCCGCATTGAAGGCCTGTTGGTGGCCAACGACGAGTGCTGATTTGCGGGTGGCGTGCACCAACAGAAAGGATGTAATCAAAATGATTCCGTTATAATGTTTTCATCAAGAAATTGAAATTAGAAAGTGCAATTCGAAAATCCTCCTACAAATTAAAAGGACTAAATTGTTTACAGCTTTTTTATAATAACACATGATGATTTATCATTCATATCCTTCTAAAGAAACTTTTAGTAGCTTTCAATTGTTAATCTCAATTCTTACGCTGAAACGAAAATTCGGTACTGTGCAAAACCATACTCTATACCTCAAAACCATTAAGCAAATATCTGTGCATTTATCAGCCTTAAAGAAATAACTTTTTTTTTCTTTTATAAATGCAAAACCCGTAAGTGTAGCAAAATAGAAAAAAGAAATCAACAAAAGACTAAAAAACATAAAACTCTGACTACTATTCATACGCCCCACTATTTCCTCCATCTCCTCTTCTTAGTTTCTTATTTTGGCTATTAAATATTCAATTAAAAAAAAAGCCACCCTTTATTAGAAGATACTTTTAAAGTATAGAGTGAAATGAAACTTACAAGTACCAATAAGTATACCCTCAGACGATCAAATGCAAAATTTCTACAAAATTAAGACCGTCTAATTAAGAAGCAAACCGAGATCAAAAGAAGGGTAAGTTCACAAAAACCCCTGAACTTTTATTTTGGCTATTAAATATTCAATTAAAAAAAAAGCCACCCTTTATTAGAAGATACTTTTAAAGTATAGAGTGAAATGAAACTTACAAGTACCAATAAGTATACCCTCAGACGATCAAATGCAAAATTTCTACAAAATTAAGACCGTCTAATTAAGAAGCAAACCGAGATCAAAAGAAGGGTAAGTTCACAAAAACCCATGAACTTACTTTGGAGAGTTCCGCAAAACCCTCCGGATTTTGAGAAATTGTTACTGTCAGAGTTAAAAGGAATTTAACCATAAAGGGGATTTCAGTCATCCTCCCCGTGACCAAGAGGGGGGTAAAAAAAAAAAAAAAAGCAGGCTATTCAAGGTTCAAGCCCTTCTGATCCCCTGAGCTTTTCTGCTTCGCTCTTCTTCAAGGAGCAAAGCGATCGAGCTTCCACGCAACTAATTAATTAATGGGATAAAAAGAGCATAATTTTCCAACGGAAAAACTCTGCCTCAGATCAGAAATTAATATCACCGCAACTAATTAACGAGGACGCGCAAATAGACCCAACTCAATTAAGTACCACCACAAATTAACGAAGAAGGCGGGGGGAAACACCGAAGGCGGTGATAAGTAAAGAA